CCAAGACGCTGAAATAAGGAACGCCTCGGGTGCGGAAGGGGCTCACTCCTCGTGCACCTGGGCGCTTCTGGGGCCAAGAAGGGGCTTCGTTCCTTATTTAGCGTTCCTTCTGATAGTACCTCGGCTGTAATGTGGGCGACCTCTCGCACGAGAGCGAAGGCATAGCCTCTGCACAGGAGTTCGGGATGCATGCGCATGAGACCTGCATTTGAGTCAGGCCTGTCCCTCTACAGGGGGAATATTCAAAAACAATTTAAAACAGTCTGGGGACTATGTTTTGAGTATTGTTTGGGTATCTTTTGAGCATGTTTTGGGTATTGTTTATTTTTCGTCAAATTCCCCTGTAGGGGGACAGGCCCGACCTAAACCTGCATGTGGGTGGCGCCGGCTCGCCCGAGTGGAAGCATAGCACACAGGCAGACGCAGGGAATTGGTCGAATCTGTCTTGATTGCTCAGTTGAGTGCGGCGCTACTGCGAATTATGATTGGTAGGGGAGGCTCGGAGGCAGCTTCCGTCCAAGCAGGCATCCTTGTGTCCGCTTCTTTGAGGGGGGGGGAAGGAAGAAGAGTAGTGGGGGGCGGGGGAGGAGAGCTGGATGGAGAGACGACGGTGATGTCGAGGACGACAGGTACTTTGCATGCATCCTTTGTTGAGCTTGCAAGTCAAGCAAGCTGGGAGGACCCCAGTGCCTCGTGCTCAGTGTTCGCAGGGGCAAAAGGGCAAGGAATGTGAAAACACGGGGGGGAGGCATTGGGCATGGAGGAGGAGGGGGATGATGATGATGATGATGATGATGATGATGATGATGATGATGATGATGATGATGATGATGAGGAGGAACAGGAGGAGGAGGAGGGGGGGGGGGAGGAGGAGGAGAAGGAGGAGGAGAAGGAGCGGGGGCAGGAGGAGGAGGAGGAGGAGGAGGAGGAGGAGGAGGAGGAGGAGGAGGAGGAGGAGGAGGAGGAGGAGGAGGAGGAGGAGGAGGAGGAGGAGGGAGGAGGAGGAGGAGGAGGAGGAGGAGGAGGAGGAGGAGGAGGAGGAGGAGGAGGGGAGGAGGAGGAGGAGGAGGAGGAGGAGGAGGAGGAGGAGGAGGAGGAGGAGGAGGAGGAGGACGAGGACGAGGAGGAGGAGGAGGAGGAGGAGGAGGAAGAGGGGGAGGAGGAGGAGGAGAAGGAGGAGGAGGAAACCACATTTCATCAATGCCGTAGCAGACGCGCCAACCCTCAGAGGGCCAGCCCCGATCGAAATTTACCCTTGCATCCCTCTCGCCCTTACCCATTACATTCTGTTTTAGTCAATGCACCCCTTCCGCACCACCATTATTTTGCCCTGCCTGCTCTTTCTCCTTGCACGCACTGTCTGCCTACTGTAATGACTTGTTTTGCTCCCGCAGCTATATACTTTGGCTTTAGGGAAACGGAAAAGGAGCGGACCTGCGGCGCGCGCGCGTGCGTCGGCCGGCGGGCCCGCCTCCTCCTTTCAGTGTTACCTTAGTGTATGCTTGACGGTACTATCCCTTCTTCCCATGTTGTCTGCGGAGCCCATTGACCATGAGACATCATCGGGACGTCTTGCAGGGATTATGAATATCCAGGCAAACAACTGGTTATCAGCCGAAACACGACGGCACAGCCGTTCGCTTCGCGGAACATGGGATCTCAAGAAAAAAACGCTCGGATAACAGAAGATCGAAGGCCTTCCAACGTGACGCAAGTATAAGTGCCTCAGCGAGGCGATCAAACCCTCCTAACCTTCCCAGTAAGAATGCATCAGAGACTATGTTCGACCTCACGGAAGGGGGCTCATCGGTTGATTCAGCGACGAGATCCAGATGACAACGCTCAAGCGGAAGGTATGGCGCAGCCAAATCTTCCGCCGAGGGACCCTCTGAGTTGGTGTCGATACACCCTGGCTTTCAACCATCGATCGACATCGATCTCGCAATGGAAAAGTTGCCTGGTCATATCCCCATCGAAACATCAGGCGCTGACAGTCTGCGCGCCGAGCATACACTGCAAAATACGTTGCATGCACAGAGTGAGGATGTGAGCGACCTGCAGTCTGAAGGGGGCAGTTCCCACTCGATAGAAAAGATAGAGGACTCTGCCCTGCTTAACACCTCGCCAGGTCCGTCGGGTCATCTCGAGTCTCTTCTTGATCTGTGTGTCGGTCGAACTCCTGACCGTGTAATGATAGAGGCAAGTCAGAAAACCATCGGTGACTCGGACGATGACTGTAGAGACGGAGAAAGCCTCAATCAAGGTGAATTCTCAACGGCACAGCCGATATCGAGCTCCCCCGACGCGATGCGCGCGGTGAGAAATACGCGAGAAGCTACAGGCATGACCCCCCGCCCGCGTACGAAGAAACCGAAGGGTGAGAATGACGACTTGAACACCTCGCCCTTAACGCAGGGTTTTTACATACCTGACTTCTCGTTGCCCAGAACAAACAGATTTAGGGTGCCAGAACTCGATGAGCTCGTCATGCAGGACGAACGAGACGACCTGGCAAGGAGCATGGACGTTGACGCTATCAAGAGGGGCGCAAGAGCGAGAGAACAACACGCGCCTACCCGAAGCAGCGAAAGGGGGCGCTCCAGTAAGGCCCGAGGGCCGGGCGCTCCAGTTCCAGAGGATTTAATGCTTTTGATTCGCCGCGAGTGTCGTCGAATAGAACAGCCGGCAGCTTCTCGATGCGGGAAGGCTGCTGGAACTCCGGGCCAACGCGCCCCACTCGGGCGGAGAATCGGTGCCCTGGGAAAGCGCGCGAACCGGGGGGGTCATGTCGAAGACCAGTGTGTTCTCAATGTTCGAATGTTTGTTCCAAATGTAGATTCGCGTGGTTTTGTCATGAGTGCTTCGCAATGGAAGAGCGCAACTGCAATCGTCTTGCGATTCAAGAGTGGGCGCAAAGAAACAGACAGGATCGAGAGCAGCTGAGGGCTGCGAGTGCGCGCGTGCAACAGATTATCTCCGAGGCACAGGTAAATGTGAAGGCCGCCGAAGAGGCTCAACGACTGCTTGCGGTTTCCGTGGCTGAGAGACAAGCAACTGCGCAAAGGATGGGGCATGAGAAGACCATCATTGTGGACAACGCGCAGAAACTGATGCGGCGTGCTGAGGCCAACGCAGCGGGCGTTGCAGACGAAGCGCATCGGCGTCTTGCTCAAGAGGAAATAGAACAACTGAGAATCCAGGGCATAGCGGAAGTACTTGTGTCTGACTCTCAGCAGAAGGCCGACAGAGAGAAAACTGAATGCAGAGAGATGGCTGATGCTGCAAGGAAGGAAGGAGAAACATAAGCCCGAAAACAGGCGGCGCGAGGAAATCAGGAGCTCCGCAATCAACTGGAAGCTGCTAGACTCGAGGCCGAAAGAGTGAAATCTGAGGCACTGCGAGCCCTGAGAGAACAATAACAGAAGACCCAAGAAAACAGAGAAGAAGACGATAAAATAATGGCCGATGCCTGGGATCGTCTGAAGGGGCGCGCAAGATAACAGATGAGAAACAACGCCCGTGCAACTCGGGCCGCAAGCGAGGACGACAGAAGGTTGAAGTCTGATCTTGAGCGACGACGGATCGAGAAAGAGGTTGATTTAACACCGGCGCAGTTGGCGCATGTTGAGCCACCTCCTCGCCGCATTGCTGCTCGCCCCATTGGGGCTTCTGGCGCGTCGCGAGCCCGAGCGCGATTGGGCGCGCCGAATCAGGCCTGTCACATTTGTACGCAGCCTTCGACCGATGTATGCAAGAGTTGTTGGAAGCACACGTGCAATGACCACCTGGGTATGGGTGCTAAACGCTGCAATGAATGTGCTTGGAGGAAAACGCTAGGGTATCAGGAAGACTGCGAGAAGGGGGTAGAACCCCAAGGCGTACCTGATGCTCGGGGCCCAGGCAGCGATCTTGATGGGAAGGCAGCGAGACACTCGGCCCCGCCTGAGGATGTTGAACCCGAACGCCAGATGAGCAATCTTGCCGACATCTTGGGCGTGCCAGTTTTGAAATCAGAAAAGTCAGGTCTTGGCAAGATGCAGATGCTGACTGCTCCGTCGATGCCGACGCTCCCTCTCTGCGAAATCGCATTTCATTCTTGGGCCGGCTGTCGAGAAGACCGCGGGGGCAAGCGAAGGTCCGACGCGGGGGGGCGCTCAAGAACGAACCCTGGAAGCGTCCTGTTCAATGCGGAGATATCGGGCCACCCTAACAACCTCGACTTGCCCGGGCACCTTGCTCTCACCGTCGGCCCGGCCGTTTCTGGTGAAGGAGGTGGGGGCCCGGGGTGCCGCGACGACGATCAGAGAGGCGATCGGAGCACGCCCCCTTGCACAGGGATGATTGTTGCGTTACAGTATGACGAGATGGGTAAGTCCAAGCCGCCAAGGGGCCCGCTAGGGGGGCCCGGTGGCGATGGCGATCCGGACGGAGATGGTGGCGGGGGGCTGAATGATCACAGCGGCCCTACGTGGCGGCCATTTCGCGCCAACCAAATGGACATCAACTGGAGAAGTTTCGGAAGCAATAAAGAACTAAACTTGCTTGACATACCAGGTGCCCAGACACTCCGAGAATGGAAGCAACGTTGCATGAGAGCGGTAGCTGGATCATGGCATGGCATATGCGCGGCGCAGACATGGGTCAGCGAAGCAATGGGCCCTGATGTGCCCAAGGAGAATCTTAGAGACTTAGGGGCATTGGTGCGCCTTGATCTGATGATCGCTACCAACCTGCTCGAGAAATTTGCAAAGATGAAACGTAACCAACGCCTGTCAGTGCAACGTGCCCATTTCCTGTCGAAAATCAATCGTACGCAACATTCGTGTCAGATAGAAGGGCGTCTCCTGACGGGTCGAGAGATGATGCGAGCCATGTGCGTTTGGTGTTCTGAGGTCGGAGAGCGGGCAACACTGATCAGGACTTGTGCTACTTCTATAGCGGATGGATGGAGCGGTGCCAAGAGTTGTACGGTGCCAGGAACCAACGGATGAAATGAAGGCTTCAATGCACGCACATTTCTATGCACAGATCCGACAGTTCCCTCGGCTTGAATATGCAATGCAGTGGTAGGAGTTGTCAACAGATCCTCCGGGCACGGGTCTGAGAACTTATCAGTGGCTCTTGCTTCAAGTCGAATTCCTCATGATGCGGGACAGAGAGCAGTGGGCAATTTCTGAACATGAGTCAACCTCCAAGTCTAGAAATAGACTGGCCCGCCCCTGTGATGAATCAACATGGGGCGGCGGATTTAATGGATTTCGGCCAATCCCGCCACCGTTCTTGGATTGTGGGTCGTAGGCCTCTGGGATGTTCGCCTGGATGTCGTGGGAGGCCTCTCGGGGACCGTTTGGGGGCCGTTTTGAGGTTTCTTGTGGTCGTGTTGGGGTTCCTTGGTGCGTCTTGTGGGCCTCTTGGGGGTCTCTTGGGGCCTGTCGGGGACCTCGTGGGGCCTCCTCTGCGTTTCTTGGGGCCCTCCTGGCCTTTTTTGGAGGCTTTTGGGCCCGAGCAAGTCATGCGGGAAGACGCGACGGGGCCTGAGAAGCACGCGACGCGCCCCATGGGGCACGCGGGGAACCCCAATCGATTTTGGCAATTTGGGGTCCGCGCGACGACGAAGACGACGAAGCAACCAGACGCCATACGCGTCATCTGGCGGACAGGAAACACGCCAAACGCGCGACAAGACAGCGACGATGCGCCAAATGCGCGCCGGGAGGACGAGGGGAGTTGGAGGAAGAGGGCGAAGATGGGGTTCGGGCCCCTGACATAATTTTTAGTATCGAGGACTCAGCTTTGAGGGGTTAGCTCGGCAAAGGACCTGGGGGACACCCCACTTCGTGCCACAAGGGCACCACGGCGGATTTCATCGAATCTGTCTGCTTGCTCTTGTGACCACATCGGATCTCGAGGGTGGCTTTCTCCCTCGGAGACTTGCAGCAAACCTCCGTGCTGACAGGCCCGCAGCAGCAGGCGCACGTCGTGCCACTCTGTCGGAGCTTGGCCTTCGCAGCCCCGCCAAGGGCCGCCGGACATACCTAGAGCCTCGGGACTGCAGGAGGTGGCTGCTCACGCCCTGCAGGACTCCCTCGGCCCCGCCTCCGCCCGCCAGGGGATGGCGAGCTCCAGGCGCGCGATACGAGGATAAGTAAGGAAGAGCGGCGAGAGGAAGGATGAGGAAGATGACGAGGGCGAGGACGAAGGACACGGACGAGAACGGAAGGACGACGAGGAGGAGGATGGGGACGAGGAGGTCGACGAGGATGGGGACGAGGATGGGGACGAGGAGGGCGAGGCGCAGGACGAACACGAGGGGAGGAGGACGAGGCGGCGCCCCGACCCCGCCGGCCAGGGACCTCGAGCCGGAGGCGCCGCGGCCCGACAAGAAGTGGTACCAGCTGACGGAGTCCTTCGACCAGCCCGAGGCCGAGCCCCACGACGCGGCCGCCCCGACTGCCTCGGCACGGATCGCAGACCCAGCTCCTCTTGCCTGCTCCTGCTCCCGCTTCCCACTTCTGTGCCCCTGTCCCGCCTCCCCCATCTTCCCACTCCTTCTGCCACGGGGTGCACGTTCTGCGGCCGGCCATCCCGAGCCTCTCGTCGGCGAGCCGCAGATTGTTCAGGTGCCCCCTGTAGACAGCACAGTTGCCTACGTTTCGCTTGTTTTTGTTACCCTGAGTTGGGTCCATGGATTTGCGCTCGTACAATAGCCATCTGGAGCATAGCAGGCATAGTAGAGACGCTCGCATCACAGAGCGCCTCTTCCATACAGAGGTCGGCCGCTACGTGGCTTCAATACAGAATCTCGTCAGCCAGCCTGGGTTCAAACCTGACTGAACAGCGGCTTGGCTGCCACATTGGATCCATTTCGAATGCGGTGAGCCAAGGGCGAGGACAAACGATACATTATGCACGACGGCAACAGCAATCCGCGGCAAGATGCCGAGCAAGGCTCAGACTGGATTAGCACTTCTGGGATATATACGTGCACGCGTGACCAGGATCCCAGATCCGTGCCCAAGAAAGGGTACCCCTCTAGCCCTGGGGGAGGGCGCCCCCTTTCTGCACGAACGAAACGGGCACTGAAAGAATGGGTACAATGCCCAACAGCGGATCCTGTTTGAACAGGACTCGCTGTCCACGCCGCCGCGGCCCGTGTCCACTCGAGACGGGCGGCCGCCTGCCCAACAGCGGCCGCTGTTGGTTTGGGACAGCATTTTAGAGGGCCACATGCGAACCCTACCCCTACCCTCCACGATTTCTGAGGGGGAGGGTGGGGTTCACTTCGCTCGGGAGCTCCCGAACGAAGTGAACCCCACCCTCCCCCTCAGAAATCGTGGGGGGTAGGGGGAGGGTTCGCATGTGGCCCCCTACATTTGTTGTTGGGCATTGTGCCCACTTCTTCCGTACCCCTTTCGGGCGCTGGAGCGCCGCTGGGGCTGACCCCGGCGGCCAGGTGGGGCGGCCCCGAGGCGGCGCGGGGCGGGGCCTCTGCTCGGGAGTCCTGGGAGGATCGAGGAGGCAGCGGACGAGGGAGGCAGGAGGAGGGAGAGGGAGGCAGGAGGGAGGAGGGACACAAAAAGGAGGCAGGAGGACACAAAAAGGGACGCGAAAAAGGGAGGAGGAAACAGAGGGACACAAGAAGGGACAAAGGGCACAAAAGGAAACATCGAGGAGAAGGAGGGACACAAAGAGGAGGCAGGAGGAGGGAGGAGGATGCGGAGGAGGAGGGAGGAGGGCGAGGAGAAGAAGGGAAGATGACAATGGAGGAGGCGGAGGAGGAGGAGGAGGACCAGCAAGAGGACCAGTGTAAACCCAAGGTCCATCAACGATATTGCAATAAACCCTCCCTCCAAGTTCCATTTTCATATTCCTACACGGATTCTCTCTTACTGGGGAAAATGCCCCGTTGGACGACAGCCGTTTGAAAATCTGGAATTGTGCCAAAACGCCATCCCTGGAACTTCAACGCCGCGAATCACCGTTATTGTTGCGTCTTGACAATCTTGAGCCGTGCCAGAACTCCATTCCTGGGACTTCAACTCGCGAGTCAACGTGATTCTTGCGTCCTGACATTCCGACATCGTGCCAAAACACAGCTTCTGGGACGGTAGCCAGGAGAATGTTTGAAACCCTTGCGAACTCTTTACAGACATGTGCGCGGCGTTCAGGCGAGGGCCACATGTTGAATGGAACCGCCCTCCCTCCGTGAAGCTCTTGCAACCTTTGAAACGACTGCGCGCAGCGCTGAGTCGAGAGCCACATTATGCAAACGGACCGGCCTCCAGCCGCGAAGCTCTTGCACATTTCAGGCAGGCTTCGGGATCATAGACAGGCGAAACGCCCGGCGCGCCCTTTCGACCGGCCTCGGGGTGCGAGAGAGAGTCGGTATTCATACGGAATGGTGGAGGAAGGGAAGGTGGAGGAAGAGCAGGAGGAGGAGGAGGAAGGAGGGAGGAGGAGGAGGAAGAGGAGGAGGAGGAGAAAGGAGGAGGAGGAGGAGGAGGAGGAGGAGGAGGAGGAGGAGGAGGAGGATGAGGAGGAGGAGGAGGAGGAAGGGGGGGGGGGGAGGAGGAGGGGATGGGGGGGGCGGGGAGGAGGGGAGGAGGAGGAGGAGAGAGGAGGAGGAGGAGGAGGAGGAGGAGGAGGAGAGGAGGAGGAGGAGGAGGAGGAGGATGGAAGAGGGGAGGAGGAGGAGGGGAGGAGGAGGGGGGGAGGAGGGGAGGAGGAGGAGGATATGATTATGATGATGATGATGATGATGATGATGATGATGATGGATGATGATGATGATGATGATGATGATTGGCTGATGATGATGATGATGCTGATGATGATGATGATGATGATGATGATGTGATGATGATGATGATGATGATGATGATGCTGATGCTGATGCTGATGTGATGCTGATGCTGATGCGCAATGCTGATGCTGATGCTGATGCTGATGCTGATGCTGATGAGGATGGTGATGATGGTGATGATGATGATGATGATGATGATGATGATGGTGGTGGTGGTGGTGGTGGTGGTTGTGGTGGCGGTGGTGGTGGTGATGATGATGCTGCTGATGATGTTGATGAGGAGGAGGATGAGGATGAGGATGAGGATGAGATGATGATGATGATGATGATGATGATGATGATGATGATGATGATGATGATGATGATGATGATGATGATGATGTGATGATGATGATGGTGGTGGTGGTGGTGGTGATGATGATGATGATGCTGATGCTGATGCTGATGCTGATGCTGATGTGATGCTGATGCTGAGGAGGAGGGAGGAGGAGGAGGAGGAGGGGGGGGGGAGGAGGAAGGAGAGGAGGAGGAGGAGGAGGAGGAGGAGGAGGAGGAGGATGAGGAGGGGGAGGGGAGGAGGAGGAGGAGGAGGGGGGGGGGGAGGAGGAGGAGGAGGAAGATTATGATGATGATGATGATGATGATGATGATGATGATGATGATGATGATGATGATGCTGATGCTGTGCTGATGATGATGCTGATGTGATGCTGATGAGCGATGAGGATGGGATGATGATGATGATGATGATGATGGTGGTGGTGGTGGTGGTGGTGGCGGTGGTGGTGATTGATGATGATGCTGCTGCTGATGATGTTGATGAGGAGGGAGGATGAGGATGAGGAGGATGAGGATGAGGATGACGATGACGATGATGATGATGATGATGATGATGGATGATGATGATGATGGTGGGTGGTGTGGTGTGGTGATGATGATGATGATGATGATGATGATGATGATGATGTGATGATGATGATGCTGCTTGTGATGTGATGCTGATGCTGATGCTGATGCTGATGCTGATGCTGATTGCTGAGCAGGAGGAGGAGGCAGGAGGAGGAGGAGGAGGAGGAGGAGGGGGAGGGGGGGGGGAGGGGGAGGGGGAGGGGGAGGAGGAGAGAGGGAGGAGGGAGAGCGAGGAGGCCGACTCTCGGTATTGTTGTGGGGCTTCAGCCGTCGCGAGACTCGCCCTCGAGATGCGGATCCCGCGTGCAGCGCCGCAGGCGCCGCCAGCTCCAGAGCGCGTGGCGTTGCTGCCTTCGCCATGGGCAACTGTTGCCTTCGCGGGGAGGGGTTGGCGGCAGGGGTCGGTGGAAGGGCAGGAGCGTGGGCAGCAGGAAGGATAGGAGAGGGGAAGGGCGGGTGAGGCGGATGGAAGGGAAGGGGTGAGCAGGATGGGGGGATGGGGGGGGGCAGGGAGGAGTTGAAGTGAGGAGGACAGGGGGAGGGGGGGAATGAGAGGAAAGGGCGGGAGGGAGGGAGGGGAACAGGGAGGAGTGGTAAGGGAGGGGGAGGGAGGAGTGGTATGGGGAGGAGGGAGGCCGAGGGATGAGGGAGGAGGACTTCGAGAGGAGAGGGAATTGAGGATGGAGAAGGGTACAGGTGAGGGGGATTGAGCAGAGAGCAGGAGCAGGAAGGGAGGAGGAGGAGGAGGAGGTGGAGGAGGAGGACCATGACGACCAACACTCGGATTCAATTCGTAGGGTGTGTTCTTACTGATAGATTTTGGCTTGCTGTTGCAAGTCCAATGATATCAACAGTGTTGCATCCCGAAGTAATTCAGGACGCTTCGCGTATTCCAGCCAGTCCCCAGTGGACGACCGACCGCAGCTTTCTTCTTCTGATGTGCAGACCTCAGGCCCGAGGGACTCGCCGGGGCTGAGCCGCCGATTCTTCAGTTAAAATAGGGCCCGTAAGGCCATGGAGGAACGCGGTTCGCTATTATCGCTGTCTGTAAAATGGGGCCCGTTAGGCCAATGGTTTCGGTGCCTCACTCACACAGCTCGCCGTGGTCTCTCGCTGTCCCTGGTTTGACCTCCGACCTGTGTTTGTTTAGGGGCTTTGCGAGGACCTCCGACGCCAGTCCTCGCTGGGCCACTCCCTGCCCAGCCCCCGTCGTTCTGGCCCTCCGGGCAGGGACTACGGGCTGCTGACCATGCTGACTCGTGGGCCTACGCCGGGGCCGTGGTCCACCCGTCTCCCCCCCTTCGTTTCACCCATGGCGTGTCCGCTGCGTTCCCCGCGGTGGCTGCCAATCGACCTGCAGGCAGAGCTCCTTCCCTGGTGCCTCTCCCTGCCCAGTCCCCACTGCTCCCCGTCCTTGGGAACTTGAGCAGTGCCACGACGCTGACAATACTGACTCGTGGGCTACCGCTTGGGCCGTGGTCCACCTGTCCAGTAACGACCTTCGGCCCGCTGTAGGTGTTCTCACCCTTCGGGCGTCATATCCAGCGCTGCCGGGCGGCCCGCCGGGTCGGGGTGTCCCCCTCTCGCTGGGCCTGGCCTCTGGCCTCTTCGTCGGTTGGTGGTGTCGTCCCCCCACCGCACCGGCCTTCACTTTGCCGTTCAAATCGCGGTTACTCTTTCCCCATACGGGGCCGGCGGCCGTCTTCGGCACCGCTCTGGCCCGTGCGCCCCCACCACGTGTGGCCAGCTCCCTGGGCTCAGGCTTGGGTCTTCCTTGTGGTGCTCGCCCGCCCGTCGCCATTTGGTGCGCTGGCTTAGAACTCGTGGCCCTGTTCAGGACCCGTGGTCGGTCAACCTGGCGCCACTTCACGCACTGGTTCGTGGTGACCCGCGCCATTTTGGCTGCGTCGCAGCTCCGCTGCTTCCCGCACTCGTGCGTTCTGCTGCCTCGGGACTATACGGCTACGGCCACCCTGGGATTTGCAGCCTGCCAACGCCTTCGCCTCCTGGCTTCAATTCTTTGACCGACGGTCCTTCGGGCCACCCTGGTACTCACGCGGTTGTCCGCAGTTGCGTCTTTACTTCTTTAATTTCGGCTTCTGGCCTGGGTCGTCGTGTGTCCCGACTCCCTGGTGTCCGATTTTGCATATTTGCACGTTGGCAGTTCGACCCCGTTTCAGCTGTCTCCCCGCTCGCCGGTCCGCCGCTGGGCTGCTGCGTGAGGGCTCGGTTTGCCTCTGTAGGTGTGGCCTCCCTTCGTCGCCTTAGGTTAATTCGTCGATGCGTAGCCCGCTTTGGCTGGACTGTCGCCGGCGCGCTCGCCCGCGGCCGCTGACTAAAAAGCATTCCAGCCAGTCCATCCAGAACCGATGCCCAGGGGACAGGCTGGAGGAGGGGCGCGGGTAAGCATTTAGTGAAATAGTGGGGCCAAGGTGAACTTAGAGACCTCGGGAAGCCTCTCAGAGCCATCGTGGGGCTGAAGCATTTTGGGCTCTCTTGGGGCCCTTTTGGGGCTCTCTTTGCCTTCTTAGGGGGCCTAGGGGCCCCTCGTGGGGCTATCTTGTAAGACCATCGAGCAAATAAGAGGACGGCGCTAGTTTCGCCCCCCCTTATCGAGGCCCTCAGACGCGATTCGTGGGGCCCTGGGGCCCTCGGGGGGCGCGCCTGGGCCGTTCATGGGCGCTTTTGGGGCCGTTTTGGAGCCCTTGTTGGCACTTTTTGGGTTTTTTAGTGCCATCTTGGGGCCATCTCGAGGTGTCAGAAGCCGCTCGGAAGCGAACACGAGGGACGGCACACCAGATTTTGGCGGAGTTTGGCTTCTCGGCGGCGTCCTTCGCAGGCCCCGTGGCCACTTGGAGCCATCTTCGGCTACTGGCCACTTGGCCCTGTGACCACTTGGCCCCGTGGCTTCTTGGCTCTGTGGCCACTTGGCCCCGTGGGCGGTCACAGCGAATCTTGGTTTCCTGCTGGACGCTATCCGGAGCCATCTTTGGCTATCTTGTGGGATCATTGAGGCCCTCTTGGGCTATTGTATGGGGCCATCGTGGAGCTATCTTGGGCCATCTTTGGCGCCCTTGTCGCTAGACTAGCCCTCGCGATCGCCCGCTACCGGGCCCTGGGGGTGGGGGTATGGGAAGGGATAAGCAACCCACAAGCCGCAGGCCGTTTCGCTCGCTCTCATCCGCCCTCGCAACACATACATATCACCCGAGTCTCAGCATACCTTCCGGTCGCAATTGGATGGGCAGCTATTGCGAACCAATGCAGGCGCCAGGTGCGCGACGTTGGCGAGGTTCGCAAACCGTGCCAAACGCTCCATGCGCCCCGCAACTTTCCCAACATGTGAATTGACAGTTCCTTTTTTTCCAACCTGTGAATTCACACATGCCTTTTCCCCAAACATGTGATATCACTCTGGCCCCTTCATAAAGAATCCTGTGCTAATTTCCAGAATGTGAATTCACATTTCATTTATTCCCCCAAATGCGAATTTGTTTTCCAACATGTGAATTCACGTTTCGCTTTTCCCTGGAATGTGAACTCTCATTTTGCGTTGGCCTTTAAGATCCGCAGAACTGAGGCGCAGTGTTTCGCATATTGGATTGGTTGGGCAGATTTCGACGCTCATTTCGTCGCCTTCGATTACTCCACCTTTCTCTTCTTGCGCCCTCGGCGCACGTTGGTTTCGTCGCACCTTCAAGTTTCGCGCATGGGCGAAGGTGGGGAGCTTCAATTGGCTTCCCCGCTGAGCAGAGCAATCGGGGATGTATCGCCCATGCGTGGCCCATATAGCCACCATTGCCGGGACCTGGCGCCCGACCCGCACGTGCACTCGCCAGGAGCTCTGGAGAGGCAAGTACAAGCATTGGGTGCCAAGAACATCTGCGACGCAATGCAGAAAGAGCGGGATGCTTGTGTTCGAGAGCGTAGGACAGTTATCGACCTGCTGGCAGTCATCAGGGATTCTTTCGAGCAGCCCGAGGACGCATTCGTTGGACCCCGCGCGGCAGGATGCCGGTGGACACCCCCAGTAAACATGGGGTCGCCCAATGCAGCGCTGCACTGTTCGACCTTATGATTCGCGGCCGCTGAATTCTGAGAAGTGAGAGCTCAGAAGTCGAGCGCCGTTGGCAGTCTCCCGAGCTGAAGAACAGATCTGAGGCCGCCTGCCGTCAATTTGTCAGCAAGGCCGAAATTGCATGGTCTCTCTTCCAGGACATTTGGGGGCCAGTTGTTGGATGATGTCGCTGGTGGTCTCTCTCTCTCTCTCTCTCTTTCTTTCTAGCTATCTATCTCTGTTTTTCTGTTCCCGTTTCTGTACCTTATGTTGCCACTTTTTTTTTTTTTTTTTTTTGTTAAAAAAAAATAAAAATATATGATTATTATTTTGTCCAATACTCCCTGTTATCTTCGCATTCGTTTTTTGCTGAGAGTGGGGTTTCGACGTCCCCTCTTGGATCTCAGTGTTGTGTTTCTGTCCACGTCAATTGCCCACTAGTCTCTCCAGGGGTGTGAAGCTCACGAGAATGTGTGCAATCTCCGTCCTCCTTTTATCGGTAGGTTTAGCGGTTGGAATAGTTTGTGCGGTTGGGCATCGACAGGCGAAGCATTCTGTGAAATCCGAGCCAATTTGACTCAAGGGTCACACGTTTACTCGTTTTTCTGCTCCCCAAAATGGGTGGTGCCTTGTGGCTGGGGCCCTATGATGCTTCATTGGTTGCGATATTGGTTCTGCTTGGCGCCAGATGGGTGGTGCTCTGTTGCCAGTGCCCTATGATGCCTGAATGGGGGCGGGCGTCTTTCTCCTCTTTCTCTTGGTGCCATGCGGATGGTGTTATCTGGCTGGTGCCCTATGATGCCTTCATGGTTGCCAGTTGCGATTTTCTCGTTGCTGCCCTGAGGCCTGCTGTGTGGTGCTTTGTGACGGCTGCACTGGGATGTTGCGGCAGTTTCGTTGTTGCCCCGGTGCGCTTGGAGACTACCACAACCTCTGGCCTGGGGGCCACAGTGGGAGTCATCGAATCTCCTACACCTTGGGCGATGCTGAAGAAAACTTCAATTTTCGGCCAGAGTCTCGATGATTCTTAGTGTTTCGATGTACATCCTAAGATGTCAATAGCAATGTTGGGTTTTTATTCAAGTTCTGAGACTATGAACTTCTCAACCCATGATTTCTTAAGCATTTCGCAGGGTGTACTCCTGCCCGGGATGGAGAGCACATGGCCGAGCGTGGGGCCGCGGCGATCCGACTGCTTAATGCGCCGTTCCTCGCGCGGGGGGGCGCAGCCCAGGCCGCGGGGGGAGGGCGGCAAGGGGGTCGAGGAGGGAGGAGGAGGAGGAGGAGGAGGAGGAGGAGGAGGAGGAGGAGGAGGAGGAGGAGGAGGAGGAGGAGGAGGAGGAGGAGGAGGAGGAGGAGGAGGAGGAGGGGAGGGGAGGGGAGGGGAGGGTGAGGGAGGGAGGGAGGGTGAGAGGGAGGGGCGGGGAGGGTAGGGGAGGGGAGGGGAGGGTGAGGGGAGGGGAGGGGAGGGGAGGGGGAGGGGAAGGGGAGGGGAGGGGAGGGGAGGGGAGGGAGGGGAGGGGAGGGAGGGGAGGGGAGGGAGGGGAGGGGAGGGGAGGGGAGGGGAGGGGAGGGGAGGGGAGGGGAGGGGAGGGAGGGGAGGGGAGGGGAGGGAGGGGAGGGGAGGGGAGGGAGGGGAGGGGTGGGAGGGGGAGGGAGGGAGGGGGGAGGGAGGGGGAGGGAGGAGGAGGAGGAGGAGGGGGGGGGGGGAACCGTGGAGGGGGACGGAAAAACAAGCGGAGCGACAGGGGCGGCCGGGGGAGCCTCTCCGTCCGCCCTTCTCCTCCACTGCCCCCCCTGGCCCTCCCCCCCTCGCTCCCCTTCACAATTACCAATATGAAACTACTCTCTCCTCTTCCCCTGATGACGTCTTTTGGTATTCGCCCCCCCCCCCCCGCGTACTGTTTTTTACACAGGTTTCCCCGGAGTTGGGTTTTCGCCTGCATTTGTTTCCAACATGTTGCTCTCGCTGAGGCGCCGGCCTCATTTTCGGGCCCCGCTCGTTCCGAATCGTGCTCCCGCTGCAGCGCTGGCCTCATTTTCGTGCTTCCGCGCTCGGTCCGAATCGTGCTCCCGCTGCAGCGCTGGCCTCATTTGCGCGCTTCCGCTCGTTTCGACTCGTGCTCCCGCTGCAGCGCTGGCGTCATTTCCCGTGCCATGCCACGGCATGCAATGCAATGCTAGGTTGATGCTACGCTTTGCGGTGCTCTTCTACGCCATGCCATGCCGTGCTCTACAATGCATCGCGTACCCTTTCGGGATCATTGCCCTGCTCGACATCCGACTGAGCGAGTAGAGAGGGGATCTGCGCCATGGTAAGGGATGGGAGGGAGGGGTAGGATGTCAGATATGACGCGAGCGCACCTAGCTTGTCTCCCCCCTCCCCTTCTCCCTCCCTCCCTCCCCTTCTCTCCCCTCCCTCCCCTTTCTCTCCCTTTCTCTCCCCTTCTCTCTCCTTCTCTCCCCTCCCCTTCTCTCCCCTTCTCCTTCTCTCCCCTTCTGGCCGCTCCCCTCCCTCCCCTTCTCTCCCCCTGTCTTCCCGTTCCCGCCGCGCGTCTTGCATCCGTCCCTCCCTGCCTCCCCTGCTTTCGCCCCCTCCGTTCCAGATGCGGGGGGCGGAGCTGGCATCACGGCGCGTGCGGCTGCGGCCGGACAGCTGGATGCGGAGTGGGGTCGAATGCTTTGGTGCATGCAGTATGGAGGAGGCGAGGGGCAGAACCGAAGCGGCCCCCAAAGCATCGTTTCGCAGAGCACGTTGCCACGCGCCGTCTTGTCCAGTCGATTCATGCAAGTTCCGTCGGATGAACGATTGCGCTTCCATATGTCATTACCCACGAAACCACCCCAACACGACCCGAAGTCCCCAGGTTGCCCTTCATTCTCAGTTGGGGGCATCCCAGGACATTTTAAAACCACACAGATGGAACCTGTACGCCCCCCAACCCGAAATTTGGGACTTCGGGTCGGGTTTGGGGTGGTCTGGTAGGTAGTCCCTATGCGACGCCTCTTCCTCCTTCTCGTCACAGGTGGGGTACCCATGGGGTACCTCCTCCTCCCCACCCTCCTCCGCCTCCTATGGGACGCCTCTTCCTCCTCCACCTCCTCCTCCTCCACTTATGGGACGCGTGCTCTTCCTCCTCCTCCTCCTCATGACTGTGTTACCCTAGGGGACGCCTCCTCCCCCTCCTTCTCCTCGTCAGGGTTGGGCACCTCTCTCTTCTGCTGGCCGGGCCTCGGAGGGTGCTGTTCACCGCGGCCGTCGCTATCGAGATCTACCACGCGGCCGCGAAGCTGCTCTGCTGCCGCCCGCTCTCGGCCGCGTGCTGCCCTTCTGCCCGCAGCGTGTCCGGGCGCAGAACTGGCATTCGTCAGGAGGAAAAGAAACACACAGACACCATTAAATCTCAATTCCCCAGAAAATATGGGAAAATATGGGAAGTGGGGGGGAAGACAGGAACCCAGAAAATATGTGAAAATATGGGGAATCTTTTTATTTGTGTCTAGTTATTTGTGTGTCCCAGTTCCCCTTCAATTCGGGCCTGCCGTTCGCACGATGCGCGGCATCATAATCCATCAGGGCGAAGCAGAAGCCGAAATGCTTCGGGCTCGCTTTCCCCACTCACGCACCTCTTATATCCTCCTCTTCCTGCCCCTCGTCACCTCCGCAAACTGCCGGCACGTATCCAGGGTCTTGGGCGCTTCTTTCAGGATAGCGAAGGGTTCAGTGCCTC